GTGTCGTAGAGTACTTGTATGTTGCAAGTATCCTGGTTTGTTTCGAAACCCTGTCTCTGTTTCGAAACACCCCGGCTGCCCCAACCCATTAACCCATTAACCTATTGACCCATTAACCCATGAACCCAATCATTCTGGCCAAATGGACTTGGGAGGCCCCAACCCATTAACCCATCTCGTACATCTGCTGCCATTTGCTTGTTCACGTTGCACTGCTCAACACCACAATACTTGTGGGCTCTGGCGACACACTCCAAGTTACTCATTCTTCATTTCACGACGCACAGCACATTCTCCAAACTAAAAGCACACACACACACACACACCCACAGCACACTCTCCAAACTAACACAAAAACTCCACCTCACAACAGTCCCCTCTCTAAAACTTAAACCCTTAAACCCTTAAACCCTAAACCCTGAACCCTAAACCGCGTAAGGTGAAATGACACCAATCTGAATGGCTGCCAGGTTGCACTCTGCGTTCAGACACCCTGCAAAGCTTAAAAGCTTCCGTACAGGCTGCAACCCCAAACCCTAAGCCCTAAACCCTAAGCCTTCAACTCATCCTGATTTTTGAAGCGCTCTGGCTGGGACTGTGGGTTCCGGAAACCCCTTCGGAACGTTTTGGAGTTTAGGGTTTAGGGTTTAGGGCTTTACGGCTTTAGGGTTTAGGGTTAGGGCTTTAGGGTTTAGGGTTTTTGTTAATGCCATAGCCGCTTTTGGTTGAGGGTTTAGGGTCCTGGCCCCACCTCACGCCCTTGCCTATGGCATTATGGGTTTAGGGGCCGGCAATGGTTCGGTTCATGTGGTTTTGGCTGGTGGGCTTGTAGATTCTCCACTGCTGTTCGCCCAACATCTGCCATTGTCTTCTAGGTTAAGGCCTGCAGTGGCTGTAACCCTAGAAGCCTGTAATTAAGCCCTAAAGTCTTGAAGGATTTAGGGTGTCGGGCGAAATATCCCTGAAGTGGGTGCTGATTAAGAAACCTCATGTAAGTTATCTGAAATAGGGTTCTGTAGTAAATCATGTGGTTCCCCTATTATACCCCATACATGCATGTTCTTGAAGCCTCCGTACTCGAAGCCGGACCCTATCCCAAAACCTTATACCCCATCCAGGGCCACGCGTTGACACACAAAACTCCACAAAATCTCTACAACCCCTAGAAGCCCTCTGGAACATGAACATACTGGAACACGCACTAATCCCCAACAAAAAACCTGCTCGGACAGAAAGCAACCTGATAAAAAGCACACTTGAAGATAGGAAAGCAAGCGTGATACCACCCTACGGAGCCCTGTAAGGAGCCCTTTAAGGAGCCCTTTGAAGACTCCACCCTAAACCCTAAACCCTAAACCCCCTCGAATGAGACCTCCACCCTAAACCCTAAACCCCCTTTAAGGAGCCCCTTGAAAACTCCGCCCTAAACCCTAAACCCTAAAATCCCTAAACCCTAAACCGTCCCTTTAAGGAGCCCCTTTGAAAAACGCAAAAGAGGGCCCCCGGGAGGAGTCCTGGGGGGCCTCCTCTGCGGTCTCCTCCGCGGCGGGCTCCGTACCACCTCGCCGAGTGGAGCCCCGAGGGGCGGGGGTTCTGTAGGGGTTAGGGCTTCTTAGGGTTTTAGGGTTT